TCATTAACCCCTTAAGGACCAAACTTCTGGAATAAAAGGGAATCATGACATTTCACACATGTCATGTGTCCTTAAGGGGTTAAAGAGGTGGCTGTTATACTTTTGTAATACCCACCTCTCCGCACCCCTTGACTGGTCTTCGTTGATTTGCCCTGCTTGGGGACACTACCCCAAGCAGGGCAAACCTCCTTCATGATGCCGACAAACTGGCTTCTTTGCTAGCATACCTGCATCTGTATGGAGTGACGTCACTATACTTCCTAGCCAGAACTATCAGTGCCGCCTCGGGAGATACCATGGCAGCCATAGCGCATGCACTTTGGTGGATATGGGTGGAGAGCAGGGCGTCCTGTGGTAGGTCTTTTCTGCTCTCCCTGGATCTCAATTTCTTTGACATTGAGTGTCTGCTGAAGAATCGAGAGTCAGATGGGAGAAAAAAAATATTTTTAAATAGGTTTTTTTCTCCAAATCTATACATTTGCTAGCACAATGTTTTGATGGAATGTTAAGCTCTTTTAAAAGAGCTAAAGTTAATTATATCCTGGCAGGTTCACTTTGAATTCACCTCGAATTCTCACTTTAGTAAATCAGCCTGTCCTTAATTTGCAGTATAATTTTATACTGTGAGTGTATGTGAGCTGTAATTTTAGGCATTGTCTCCATATGCACCTTGTGTTTTGACTAGATGTTGGCAATACTGCCTAAACCAAGCTGTGGGAAGTAGCTGCAGTTGATATGTGGAAACTCATTACAAACTGTATTTCCTGAGTCAGCCCCTTATTGTCACATTCACTTTAAAAAAAATATATATACGTATATATATATTTTTTTTAATACGTTTTTGTACTCCACTAATTTCTCATCCAGTCCTTAGAGTTTATTTAATAAGAAAGAGGTGCATGTTTCCTTCTGTTAGTGGTTACTGCCTTGACGAGTGCTGTGGTATGTGGCACTCTGAGGTGAGTGATCTGGGGTACTTTATAACATGATCCCAGTAGGTTGCTAGACTGTTACCCCCTCATGGCATAAGAGTAGATGAGGCCATCTCACAGACAGAACAAGTGTTCCAGACACAGCTCATGTTCTTTTCAAGACACAGGGATCACAATACCATTAAGATCATTCCACATTATGCAATAAACAAGTGTGTTGCAATCCATATGTTTGCATTAATGTGCACCTCTCCCCCCTTTTAGTTGCCTGGAATATTATAAACTTATTTTGTGTGACATCGTTAATTTAATGTCCATGCTCCCATATCAATGATTCTGGATGATAATCCATATTCCCTTTTAACCCCTTCAGGACACAGCTTCTGGAATAAAAGGGAATCATGACGGAATATTTCCGTCGTGTCCTTAAGGGGTTAAGAAACTAGATCAATCAGAAACAAGGAATGAGACAACAGTTTTTTTGACTGTAGCTTTAATTACCTGGCTTTTATTTTTTTAATAGAACACCTGACATTTTTTATCAGCTACACCTGTCTTAATGTACATTGAAGAACAGAAAAATCGTTCCCACTTGATGCCTCTCCGTTATTAATTATTATTATTATTATTATTGAAAAATGCTTATTAATTCTCACATATGGTAATATTGACTTTTACCATTTCTGATAAGTCGTAGGTGAGAAATTCTGCACATAACCCTTGCATTCAGCAGCAGAATTAGTGAAGGAAGCCAGTGTTATTGAATGAATTTGTGATGCCTGGCAGTAAGCATGTTTATATTGTGCACATATCAGTGGTAGACAACTAGTATGCAAAACTACTGTATGCCACCTTAAAGCTTGAGTTTAGAGCATATACCCTGAAAAGGCTCTAATTTATGTGAGTTAATTTTCACTCACTTGCACAATTTCTATGGTTTCACAGTAATGCACTATATATCTTTTTGGTATCTTTCTGTTTTATGCACATCTATTTAAAAATCTACACAATTGTGAGTGGTAAGTTCCGACTATTTATCTAAAAGCACTGCAATTTGCACTCTGTGCTATTAGGGGGAAATCACCTAAATGTTGAGTGCTTGTTAAATACATCTATTTGTACGGTGAGCTTTTTCGAGTGTTCAGAGTGTTTATTAGCTGCTCTATCAAATGACGATAAAATCACTATATCGTATATAAGAAAAAAACGCCTATACCACACTATAAGTTTTATTTCTGTTTTAAAATAGTAAACTAGTCTTTTTAGTCCACACCTGATGATATGGTTAGTTTGTGTGTGGATTAGGATAAACCAGCCAGATCTGTGTTTTCACAAGTCTAATGCATACCCATGTGCTTTAAAGGAATACTCCAAGCAGCATAACCACTACAGCATCATGTAGTTGTTGCGCTTATTGGCGTTTTCCTTTGAGGCTGTTTGTAAATAGTGATTGGGATTATTTATTTTATTTTTTGGACACTAACTCAGGAATCATACTAGCAGGTTTATTCAATAATTGAACTTTCACAAATTACTATTTTACCTCGGTTTTACTGTTGGGGAATTAATTAATGCAAATTTTGAATTTAATGAATAGCCTTGTCTACGTTGCTGTTAGACACACTTTTTTAATGTTGGAAGATAGAAAATCAGAGAATGAATACAGAAATGTTTGATAGAGATATATATAAATGTTGCATTTATGTTGAGTTATTCATTTGTTTTATTCATCTAGTTAAAACCGTGCTCTGTGAGGGTGGGGTGCCACAGAGACCTGTTGTATGTGTCACTCGACCTGAACTGATTAAGGAAATTCAGCAACGTTTGAGCAAGCTGAAAGATGATCCAGGCTGGGTTACTGTCTATGGGATGGCCGGCTGTGGGAAGTCTGTCCTAGCAGCAGAAGCTCTCCGGGAACACCGGATATTGGAAGGTAAAAAAAATATGTTAAAATTAATAAATAAACCCCAAAGGGCCAGTGACCAAATCAAACCAATAATTATCGTATTCTCGTTATCTATCTATAACATTGGTATATGGGTGGAAGCATAATAGCTTGTTTGTCTGTTACCAAAGTCAGAGCCAAGGGACGGCATACAGTCAAAGAGTTGAAGGCCTTGACAGAGGTTGACTGGGACCAAAACGGCTTTAACTTAATAAAGTAGTTTGGTGTATAAATCATACCCCAATTATCTGCCATTTAATAGTTAAATCAATGTTTTCTGTTTATGCAGCGTTGGCTGCACCTCCACTGGCTGTGACTGACACAGCCTGCATGAAGAAAAATGGTTTCATTTTTAATCAGCAAATTGTGTTCACATTAGACATTTTTATCTCCTGCTCTATTAGAACTTTAATCACACAAAGGAGGCTCTTGCAGGCTATTATCAGAGCAGGAGATAAGGAATTCTAAATTAATTTGATCGTGCAATAATGAACATTTAAACATGATTGCTCTTTACAGGAAATGTGTAGCGAAATTGTGTAAGGCACACACAAGGAGATGTGAGGTAGGGCTACATAAACAAAGTGATTTAACTCCCAAATGGCAGAGAATTGAGCAGTGAGACTGCAGGGGCATGATCTACACACCAAAACTGCTTTATTAAGCTAAAGTTGTTTTGAATACTATAGTTTCCCTTTAATAACATAAATTCTAAAAATATGTATGTGACCAGAACTCTTTGGTTGCGTAATGGGATTCTATAGTGTAAGGAATAAAAAAAGTTGTATTCTTTACACTAAAGCTCCCTTTGGCACGTCCCTCGCACCCCCGCTCCCCTTTCCAGCTCAAAAAGGGTTTTAAAAAAACTTTTAACACTTACATGATTCCCGCTCCGCCTTCTCTGACATCATCCGAGGGGGGAGAGGGGCTAATGCGTATTCATGGCAAACTGCTTCAGTGCTTTCCTATAGGAATTATGATGATACTGAATGTCCACAAGCAAAACATGAGACGTCCAGCATCAGCTGGCCACCAGGAAGTGCATCTAGTCGCTGTCTGATTGACAGCCACTAAGAACAGTCTTAGTCCTGCAATGTAATTATTGCAATTTCTAAAAAAAACTGCAATGATTTACATTGCGGGGCTAAGGAGGACTGGGACACTGCAATGAGAAGAAGTGGTCTGGGTGACTGTAGTGTCCCTTTAAGCAATATGCTTTATTTGAAGCTTCAATCACGTAGAGTTAGTCGCTAAAGTATGACCTTACTTCACAATAGCCACACTGAAAAATGTAACTTGTCCGCAATTTACACTTTAATGGATGTTCCAGACTATGCAACCTTTGTCAAAGGTACAATAAAGTATTGCGTGTGACAAGTTGAGTTTTTGTGGGGTTTTTTTTTGTGTCATTTTCTTTTTAATAATCATTTCATTAGTTATAGCAGTCAAATTAACAAAATGTGACAATGGGTGAATGGGTGGTCCTTAAAACAAGTTTCTGTTTTAGTTGCCCATTAGATTTACCCACAATCCATTAGTAAAATCAGTTCCACAGAAGGGCAAACAGCAGGTGGCAATGGTAGAGTAGAACGATATGGCTGCACACAGATATTCGACACAAGGAAGAAAAGATAATGAACAGACCCAAGGGGGCATAAGGAAAGGAAACCCCAAGGACAAAAACCACATTTGACCTGCTTTAATTCTCACATGAATGGATCACAGTATGTGCAGAGTACTTACAGATGGGTATATTCTCTAGACACTGAGTTGAGAAAAGAATTGCAAAATTTAGGCCTGAAATGTTTTGGAAATCTTGTCCAACTCCATTATAACTGGAGCTTGGTTAATTTGGCCTAATTTGTAAAATTCAGTTTTTCCGTTCTCTACAGTTTTGGAGTGATACACTAAACACAGAAGTCTGTTTTTTAAGCCACCCATATTTTCTATTGTTTCGTTCTGAAAACCCTGCAGTTAAGCTTGTACATAGAGACCATCTGGTTTATGCTTTTTCCTAACCATCTTCGTTCACTTTATTATTGTCATTGTTGCCACAGGATGTTTTCCTGGAGGCGTACATTGGATCTCTATTGGAAAACAAGACAAGGCTGGCCTTCTGATGAAACTCCAGAATCTATGTATACGTTTGGATCAGGAACTGAAATATTCTCAACGCCCGCCACTAAACATCGAGGAAGCAAGAGACAGACTCCGTGTGCTGGTAATGAAAGTATATCCCAGGTAATCATTCTATCTGTTTCTCCTCTCCCAGTTACTATGTTCAATGACAGATAAGAACAGCGCTTATGACTGATTGTCAGGGAACCAAGATGGAGGTACTGAGTTTCAGGATAGAACCTAATACATGGAGTAATAATTGTCAGGAATCCAAAGGGAATGTCAAATGTAAGGTCGACAGCTGAATTGGAAACAAAGCTGACTTGGAGAATCTTTCCAGTATGACTATGTTAACTTTAACTTTTGAATTCAGAAGTCGTTAGGACCCCTTCAGCTAGACGTGAACAGATAGGGCATGGAAATGGCAAACAGCTATGCCGTGTGGATGTTTACTGTAATGACTGAACCATGGCCCATTATTATTATTACACACAATTGATTTGATGTTCTATTTTTATTCTTAATTGTAGAAGCCTTTTAATATTGGATGATGTCTGGGATTCCTGGGTGCTGAAAGCATTTGATATTCAATCTCGTGTTCTTATCACAACGAGAGATAGAAGTGTGACTGATGCAGTCTCTGGTGAGTGTTAATGCAGGGTTTGTTTTCAGGGCAAAGTGCAATAAATAAACTATACTAATTGCTGTTTGTGGATAAAGGAGCAATGCCACCAAGAATTTTTGAAAGGAGGGTTTGCATTGCATGTTTCAGCTAGTCCTATACTTAGTGATGAGTGGATTACCAGATCAATAATGCACATGCTTTAAATATAACCAAAACAGGTATTAATACACATTCTTAAAGTGGCAGTCTACAAGTGTATGTGTGTGTTTGTGTGTATATATATAGATATAGAGAGAGAGAGAGAAATGTGTGTCGCATTTAAGTTAAAGGAACACTAAGCACCAAAACCACTGAATTCCACTGGTGCCTCTAATTTGTCAGACCATTTTAGAATGTTTTGACAACTTACTGGGGTCTGCACCCCTTTCTTCCAAGATAATCTATTTAGCTCCACTGAACTAAGCAGCGCTGCCCTCGTTGGCTGAAAATGTCTGCTGAGTGCTTTTGGACAGTGAGCACGGTCCTGTATTCAGCCTGCTTAGCTCAATGCCACATAAATGTGCTGAGGGGAGGAAAACACAGGAGGACTGAGAATAAAAAGCCACATGTAGCGGGGATGAAAAAAGACAGAAAGAGACACACACAAAGGGGCTGGTGGGGAAGAGGCACACGTAGGGGGCAGGGGAAGGGGAAAAAGAGAGATGCAAATGGGCCTGGGAAAGGGGAAAGAAAAAAATAAACAGGGGGGCTGGAGAAGGGGAGAAAGAGCCACACTGAGTGGTTGAGGGGTAGAGCCACACTGAGAAGACGCTGGACGTCCATAGGAAAGCATTGAGAAATGCCCAGTAGGAGTGGGACACTGAGGGTGGGGGGGACCTAAAGAACCTATAGTGCCAGGAAAACAAGTTTGTATTCCTGGCACTAGAGTGGTCCTTTAAGGAACAGGGCTGTTTTTACATTTCTGCGGTGTGTGTGTTTTTCTCTGACTTATTCACTGTACCCACACACATTATACACGGTTTTTCTTGCCATTAAATGGTCTTTCTAAAGATAGCATTATTTTCATGATATCATATAATTTATTGTTAAAAATAAATTATAAAATATGATGAAATTTTTTTAAAAACACACCCCCAAAATCTGTTGTGCATCTACAACCGCCAAAAACCACCCGTGCTTAATAGCTGCTAAATTTTGTCCTGAGTTTAGAAATACCCAAATGTTAACATGTTCTTAGCTTTTTTGGAAAGTTATAGGGCAATAAGTACAAGTAGCACTTTGCTATTTCCAAACCATTTTTTTTTTCCCCAAAAAATTAGCAAAAGTTACATTGTAACACTGATATCTGTCAGGAATCTTGGGGTATTTTGACTATTTTCATGCAACCATTTTACCACCAATCTGTGCCAAGTTTAAAATAAATAAAAAAATTATTAGATTTTTTTTTTACACACATAGCAATTTACGAATACATGTACTGAGAACTTTAAGGGTTACTGCCAAAGAACACCCCAATATGTGTTCAGCAACATCTGCTGAGTACAGTGATACCACCCATGTAAAGGTGTTTCAGGTTCTCTGGGGGCTGAAAGACCTTATTTGGAGGGTGCGCATTCCAGTTTTCCAACTTGGAATTTTCACAGCTGGTCATCATGCACCCATGTCCTATATGGATGAGGGCTTTCTGCGTCTCCTGCAGTCCCCCCGACCGTGATCGCTACGGATCGCTGGTCCAGGTAAGTTCAGGGCTCCTATTTGCCGCGGATGTACTAGGTACGTCCACGGTCGTTAAGGGGTTAAAGGAATAAGAGCCTATGTGGCTGAGCACCTTTATCTGGTTTGCAGTGTATTTTGAATTATATGCACTTTTTCTGAGTGCCTTCCTTAACTGTTTGTCTAAAATGTACACCCATAACAAATATGTTTTTGATTGTCTGCTAATGTCTTCTTCTATTCCGGAAAGTACTTTGTAGACTTTAATGTTTTGTATTTTGTTGCCAAAAGGTCTGGTATAAAGCAAAGATCTACTCCAGCGATGGTTGAATTTTGCCATTCCAGCTGCTGTGGACTCATGAGGCTCAACAAATCAAATGGAAAACATAACTTAGAGCAGCTAGATTGAGACAGAAAAGCCACAAAGCCATAACTGATTCTGTAACATTGTTCTATAAACACTCAGTAAAAGGCTGCATTGAGTACAGACCAACCACTGCCTTCCATGTTAAATGCATAGGGTTTTTGTTTTCTTTTTATTCAGTCACTGTCATGATGTACGTTATATGATTTTTTTACTTTTGTTTTTGTTTTTGTTTTGAAAGGGCATAAATACTCTGTTCAGGTGCACAACGAACTAGAGGTCAAGAAAGGACTTGAAATCCTGTCTCGCTTTGTGGATATGAAAGAGCACGACCTTCCCTCTGAAGCTCGTGCCATTATTAAAGAATCCAAAGGTAAAACATGAGAAACCGTGGGTTCTAGTAATGTATTGATAGCTAGGACAGAGATCTGCATGTCATTATAAAGATCGCATTTTTAAACCTTTCAGAACAAGGGGTTTGGTAACTCCCGTAGTTTTATGACAGTCCTGGCACATCAGCTAATTCTTTAGTTTTTAAGCTTTGTGGGATTTTCAAAGAATTTGTTTCAGACGTGTTGAAACATTCCTCTGACACTCTTAATGGTAACATGTTGCTGAAAAGGTTTGCTTTCCATAGAGGTTAAAGTAAAAGGGTAAGGTAAGGCAGATAAGTAAATTGTTTAATCCATAAACTTGCTGACAGTGTTGTCAGCAACGTATATAAAGTGACTATATTCCTCTCTCAATGTGAACTTGCCATCCTCATGAGTCACTTTAAGTAGGCAGTGCATGCTATGACTTTTAAAACGTCTCTTAATTTTTCTCCCGTTACATACGGTTTCTTTGGTACCTATATAAAAAACGGCTACAGCTGCTATTTTTTCTGTTATGGCATCACTCTGCAATAAATATAAATTTCGATTGTAGCTATGTAGCATGTTCTTTATGTGATCTTTATTCACAGGCTCACCTCTTGTGGTATCGTTGATCGGAGCCCTTTTGCGCGAGTTCCCCAGCCGATGGGATTTTTATCTCAAGCAACTCCAGAGAAAGCAGTTTAAACGAATCAGGAAATCCTCTTCGTATGATTATGAGGCTCTAGACGAAGCAATGTCAATGAGTGTGGATAGACTGAAAGAAGATCTCAAAGACTATTACAAAGATTTCTCCATTATAGAAAAGGATGTGAAAGTGCCTACACAGGTACCTCTCACAGATACACATTGGCCCATTTGAAAGGCCGCAGCATTCTATTTTTAGAATAGTTTAGTCCAAGAGATAATGGGAGATATTTCTATTGTAAATTGTGTAACGAGAACAGCGCAGTATACGTAACGATGTGTCTCACATTCAGTGTGTTACAAGCACAAGTAAAACGAAACAAGGACATAAAACATGATTTTAAAGTGCCCGTCATAGCCACGAATGTGTAGTCTGTGTTAATGAAATATAACAAATGTATAGATTGGGATTTCCTGACGTTTTCTTCCTGATGTGAGAGCTCTCTCTGTAAATATAATGGGTGTTGCGTCCATAACGCACATGAAGCAGAGGGTTGATGGATGCCTGTCCTTAGGTTAAAACAATAGACACATGAAATTATATTGTCTGAAAATTGCTGCTAATTAATTCTTGCATGATTTGAGCTTTAAAGGAATGCTATAGTGTTAGGAATACAAACCTGTATAGTACCCCTGCCCCTATTTAGATTAGTGCCCCCAACCATCACCACCACCAATTTTCCATAAAAATAAGTAAAATAAAAAAGGTTTTACTTACCTTTCTTCATGTGATGAAACTCATCCAGTACTGATGGCCTCTCTGACTCCCATGATGTCATTGTGGAGGCAAATGGATTGGGTGGTGTGGAACTCAGGGGAGTCACTGGTTTCAGGCAGGAGTGTGCAATGTAAAGGCATCTGCATTCCTCCTTTGCAGAAGAATCCAGGCACAGTTAGGTTTATTTAGTAAGGTTTATTGATACACACATGATGAGGAAACATATCAATTTTGCATGTTTTCTGTATCCTGTGTTCATCAATAAACCTTATTATATAGACCCTGAGCTGGGTAGCCTGTGGATTGTACTGTCATCGTGGAGGTGTCGCATTCCTGGTGTTCGTTTAATCCAATGCTCTTCATAAAAGAGCATTGGGGATGTTATGTGATGTGCATGCATGGTGAGTGCCACATGCACAATCTATCAAATGCTTCTTACAGAAAAGCATTGACTTCAATGATTTCTTATGAGCTGCATTTGATGATATTGACAGAGTTTTACAGCGTTGCTACGTAGGAAGCTCCTGTGGGGGCTGTCATTGTGACAGTCACTAGAAGTGTGTTTAACTATTCAAGGTAAACATTGCTGGGTCTGAAAAACTACAGGACCACTTCACCCACACCACTTCATTGAGATGAAGTGGCCCTGGTGACTTTATTTTAGGCCGGACTGCTACCTTGAAGATAAAAAAGCTGCGAAATAGGAGCTAGAAGCTGGCAGTGCTTTGGGGGATTTAATAATAAGTTAAGAGTTTTTTTCCCACTAAACTCTAATTTTAAAACAATTCAGGCAAAAAAATTGCCATTTTATAAGGATAACGGAGTTGGTGCACATTTCAGAATCATTTACTTTGACCTAAATTTTGCAATTTCACTTTTCAACCAGTGTTTAGTAAATAAAAAGAGATGGATCCAATCCAATATCACTACCTAAAACCTTTTTTTTTTTTTTTTTTGTCTTATTGGCAGGTCCTATGTATCCTGTGGGACATGGAGAGTGAGATTGTGGAAGACACATTGCAAGAGTTTGTTAACAAGTCTTTGTTATACTGTGATCGCAACGGGAAATCCTTTTCATATTATTTGCATGATCTACAGCTGGATTATCTTACAGAGCGGAATCGAGATCAGCTCCCGGTATGAACTCATTGGTTTCATTACATTTAGTAATATTAACTACTTTTTAGTTTTAGTTTACGGCCTGGTGCAGGTGTCTTTAGGGACATTGTAAACATAGCTGTGATGCAGTTACATTGTACCATTATATTGTTCCTGATTTTGTCCTCCTCTTGTTTCCCAGGAGCTTCATTCCAAGCTTGTTGGCCAGTATTATAAACACTATGCCGATGCCTTGCCAACACCCGACAAAGAAGATTGTGCATATTGGTATCGTTACTTAGCCTACCACATGGCTCAGGCCAACATGCATCAAGTAGGTACATATTCTCGCACCCCTTTCTTAACATTTTCTTGACACCCATTTTT